CGTGAGAATAAATTCTTCAAGCGCTCACACTCCTCAGAAAAATAAAGCCATGAAGAGGACAAACGGTACGCGCGATCGAGCATAGTTGTTAATAAGTTCCGTTTGTACCGGTTGTCAACGTAACTCTAGTAGTGGACAAGTAAACCAGTATAAGTAGGCTTGACATAAACTTTCGTCTCAAATTTGGAGTACACGGTTTAGGAGCTGGGTGCCAAGAAAGGGGTACGTTGGTAAAAAGGGATGACACGTCATACGATACCAAGATATGACCTTTGTTGATTTTCAGTTCTCGCACTTCATTTATGAAATCGAAGATGTCAGTAACGGTGTGTTGATTCAAAGACAGTGGTTTGAGCTTTTCATCAAGCCACTTGGCTAGTGCGTAGTTATAGGTGCTCGTTGCTGATAGAATGGGACGTACGGTTAACTTCTCCTTATGGGTTTTTGGTAGCCCTTATAGGTGTGCTAGTCTCGAGCCTGAAGGACTTACAGATTGAGCAATGTCCTTTGGAAGGATTCTGCGAACGGTAAATTGTAACATTTTTTCTCTAATCAACAGCGGGTGATAGTGTTTGGGCGGCCTACCTCTGGATTTTGGTCTTTCTAGTGGGACAGAACGGAACTTGTTGGTGTCGTTTCCTTTCCAGGCTTCCTTTCTTAATTATTTCTGGCCAACGTTTCCTCTCTGCTAAGTATTGTCTGTACAAAAATGCTAATAATTGACAATCTTTGTACCTGATTAACATCTTGAGTAACAATTCCAAGCAACTTTTGATCACTCTCTGCTGAGTTATTAGCACTCAAGAAAAGTGTTTTTGAGACGAGTTCTATCCTCACTGTGTTCAACATTACATTCATAACATGGTTACTCATAACCAAGCATTTTTCATACCAGAAAATACTGCCTTTGTGAAAGTAAAGATGTTTTTGCTCTGCGCGTAAGCCTTTAAGACGGACAATTTTACTTATACTGATGAGATTTTGACTTGCCTTAGGGCGCATGCGTACAGAAATCGTTCTTTCACAACCATTTGAAATACATTTCAACAAAAATATTTATGATTATATGAAGTTGACTGATGAAAAACCTTTATTTGTTTTGCGTACTTCTTGAAATCAGTCTTAATTTATCGTTTGATCTGCGGTTTTTCTCTACCACACATAAGCGAGCCTTGCGTGGGAAATATATAAATACTCTGCTAGACCACCAAGATCAAGGACTGTGTCAGTCTGATATCGCTGACACAGTCCGATTAGTATATGATTAAAATAGGTTAATCATATACTAACGCCGTCTTATTTTAACTTCTCTTCTCTGTGCGATTGATTTGATTCCCAGTGTGCATGGCGAATAGTACCCTGCGATATATGCTCAGTCTTGCATCCTTAAAATTGTAATTTTGATGAAAATGCTGTACTGTTTTTGTGTTGTTCTCCTGCTTCTCGCGCCAAAGAAACAGACGTTCTAGGTGGTGCGAGAAACAGGCCAATAGATTATTTAGACAAAGTTCGTACGCTTTGTATGGTTTATGATGGAGTGCTACTTGATGGCTCACCTGGAATTGTTTTAAGGAACTGCACCTTGGCAATAATGACACAAACATATAGCTTACCTCTTTGAGATAATCTTTAAGTCATGTCTTTGTTTCACCAGATGTGATGGCTGTGTGTGGTATTTCTGAGTTTACAAGGTTTTTCTAGACGGCACACTTCCTGTTTTGAACAACATTATTAGTCAAGGAGCCATTCAACCAGAAAAATAAACAAGGCCTCTAAGATGATGAGCATGGTATATTAATGATAAGAAAAACACGAATAAGGATTAAGGTGGAAGGGGTAAGTTCCTCAGGAAACTGTAGTGCTGGGTCTTTGGGGGATTATATCACGAGAATTTCGTTTTATCAACTGAGTTGAGAAAATAAATTGGCCACCGTAAAGAGTGTCAAAGCTGCCGCCGGTTTCGACCGTTACCCTTCGCTTCAGAACGAAAGACGAACGACGAAGCCGTGCTCTGACGAAGGGCAAACGCGCGAAATGTCAGTTTTGAAACCCTTTACGATGGCCAATTTACATTATCAACGAATAAAGATAGTTTTACATGGAATTCTCGTCCAAATTTCTAAAGTCTCTGGTTTTTTAGAACATTAAATATTTACTCTTATCGAAGCTTCAGCTGGAGTAAGATTTGCATGTTTAGATAGTTCTGCAAACCGGAAATGTTTCCTTTTCGTCGGTGCAGACGAAATAAAGTTTGAAGCGAGGACTGAGATTGATTTCTGACCTTATACAAAGCTCATAAATATCTTATTATAGCTTTTAGATTTCGGCCGAAGGCCGAAACGTCGCCACATTAAAGCTGGAACAGTTAGAAGTTTGCTTCATGTTTCATCGTTTTTGACTTACTTTATATATATATATATGCGTGTACGAAGTATAAAGAAATATTGCAGGTGTAAACAGAAGATAAAAACATACGAAGAGAAAAAATAATTAGAAGCTAATGTTGAAGAAAAAACTTTAACACCAATTAGTCCGATTGAACATTGAAAGGAGATCGCAGTTCTTAAATAACAAACATTTCGCAGAGTAGGGGGTTAAATTTGTTTATGCTTTCTTAAAACGCTAAAATTCTTTGTATGATCTTTTGAATGCAAGCGACTGGCATTCTTTGGCTCGAACTAAACAACCAAACTCGTTTTTCTTTAACGTACCGGTATTCTTTATTTAAATCATTAAGGATCTCTCACCTCCCGAATCTTGCAGTCTAAAGATTGTCTGAATTAACTTTGACAACGAAACTGAGACGCTGGTTTCGGCGAAAATAAAAAAAAAGGCATAGTCATATTTTATGCCAAAGGGTAATTCCACGAATCACTCACAAGCGACTGTAAAACATCTTATTTCAAATAATATAAAAAGTTCTCCAAATTGTGTACTCCATACAAGTAGTTTAAGGCCTGGGTCAGGAGATTAAATTGCCTTAATAAAATAAACAGCCATATCTCCATAAATATACAGCCGATTTCGCTGAAACTTTCAGGGACGATAGATATCCATACGAACTTTTACCTTATGGCAACAATGCCGACGACGACGGTCACGTGTCGGGTCACGTGATCAAAACGCTACTCAATCGGTTTTTATCGGAATTGGTAAGATTTACACACACTCGTTACTGATCAATGAATGAGAAAAATACTCAATAAAAAATGCTAGCCATCTACGTTTGGAATGAATTTCCTTCGTTCCTTAAAAAAGAGATTAGAGATTTTTAGGAGNTCAAGCATTCTTACCTAATTTTATTCCCTTAAATGATTTAGTCAGGTCATTTAAAAAAGGTAATAAGTCACTTGAAAGTGATTGTTGTCCATCATTTTTACCACCAAAAGCTTCAGATTGAGAGCAAATTTGTTACTGGTAATTAACACTTATTTACTAATTGCTCACCTTCATCATAAGCGAGTCAAAGATTATGTTTGACCTCAGAATAGCTGTGCTGTTGAGCTATCTTGTCCCTATGGATTTAAAAAAAATACACTGTGAACATGAAATTAGAAAAGAAGTCTCAGGCAACAGTTTACATTACTTGGCTTAAAATTCTACCATAACTTAGATGGCTTTAATTTCACAAGTTGGACAACATACCCTGATGAATGTGGAAGTTGTATAAGAATTTAAGTAAAAATCATAGTTAAGAAAAGGTAATGGTCAGATTCCTATTTGCCATGTTCATGTAGGATTGAGAATGTCTGTGTTATTCGTCACAGGCTGGCAAATCAGTCATTGTTAACTAAGGTTAAAGACGACATCCCAATTTAGTTTGTCACCTCTCTTGGGATCGATTCAATCTAAAACATAGATATGTATACTTTAAATTTCGCTACACATGTATAAGAACACAACTGTTGACACATAGCTTTTTGCTCTCTCTCATTTACATGCCTTGTAGATTGAGTAATGAACTCTCTTTGTTGAAGCTCATATAAATACATTTACCCACAAAAGTGTTGTACTATAAATCACCGTTAAATTTCTAGCTCGAGATTGAGCCGAGGCATTTAAATTTGGTAAACAACAAAATTTACGCTACGGGTAAGTTTTCACTCCGCGGTTTATTAATTTCCACCTCATCCTACACTGACGAGAATGGAAAATTTCCGAAACATACCAAAACATTTGTAATCTATAATTTAGTAAACGAAAAAATGCGCTTTCCTTGAATAAAACGCTCGTTATTTGGATTTACGCCTCAGAGCATTATGGAAGCTACGGCAAATTAGAGCTAATTTGCCGAATGAAACACAAAAATACCACTCACCTCAGCTGTAGACCTCACATCTGCACGAAAACAACGTCTTCTAAAAAAATTTCGGTAGATACATCCATGTTCGCCTTCCAAAAGCGTAAAGGCTCTCTGATCTAAACTTCGAACGCGCTATGCGGTAACGGCCGCCAATTTTTTTAAGTCTTGAAACTCTGCTGGGGGTCTTAAACCAAGATAAAACCCAGGCCTTAAACTACTTGGGATTATCGCAGCGATAGATGCGTTTCTTTCCCAGCTCTATTCTGAGATTAAGACTTTTTTGAGCTCTAACACACTTTAGAAGCTTGCCATTAAGTGTTTAGACCAATATCATGTCGCTAGCATGCTTATAGAGGAAATGTTGACGCGTAAGAGTGAAGTTTCTAGCGTATGTTTAGTAAAAGGCTTTTAATACTAACATTTTCGCCTGTGCACGTTCTTTTTTGGCTTAAGTGAAAATGCACATGCGTAGGGAAAATGTCATTTGAATAACATTTGAATAGACATTTTAATAATTAAAGAAAGGTGTTTTTCGTCTTGTCACTTACGCGGAACAAAGGAAAACGTCTGAGTCCCCATGATAAAAGCTTTATCTTTGTTGGGTCTTACCAATTTCCTTTTTGATTTGTGTTTGATCTCCGCTTATGGTCTACCACAAACAGGCGAGTGGAGCTTCTGAGATAAATAAGTACTTAATCCGCTTCTCTCTTCCAATGGCTGTGTCTGAAAAAGGTGCACCGCTGACACAGCCCGGCAGGGTTCGCTTCGGCCTCTTGGGACCCCTCTTGCCACGTTGGACGTGGCACGTTGGACCGTCGACAATCCAGCGCCGATCCCCTACATCAGTGGCCAGTGATGTTTGGGCTCGGGATGGGGAATCAAGAGATTCGAAGGTCTCCTGCCGTATCCTTATTTTTGCTTCTTATTTCTGTGCGTTGGCTTGTATCACGTTCGGTATAACAAACTGAGCCTGCGATATGGTTCCGTTTTGTCCCAGTGAGATCGTAAACCTATGATTCCCTATTCTATTCCCGCGGTTTCCCTTGCCAAAGAAAGAAACTTGACTGCCTCACGATGTAGGTGGCGCGAGAAAGAGATTTATGGGGTATTTTACCAGTCTCTGTCATTCTCCAGCTCAGGATAAATTTCATCTTACGGTTGGCTTTGCTCGTTTCGTTTAATGGAATGGTGACTAAGCCAAGAAATTGATAAAGACTGTAGTTTCTAGCTTAATTGTTTGACGTGAGTGATGTAAATCTTCATGAAACATCTTTCATTTAAATGGATACGAGCAGTATGCGGTGTTTCTATCAGTTACAGGGTTTTGTTCCTGTTCTGACCGACGATTTTAATCCCGAGCTTATTCGACCTCAGGAAAAAATGCATGCTTTGTGTAGTGTAATTGGGAAGCTTCACGATTCGTTGAGCTTTTTAAGGACGAAGAACCTTGCTTTGTCTCAGTGTTGTCTGTGTTATGTCTGGTGATAGTGAAAAGCACTTGGGGTTAGTCAAGGGTTGTGTATATAATTATGTATTCACAGGCAAAGCAACCTTTGAGTATGTTGATATGAATCCTCGATATGTTTATGCTCTGGTTGTAATCCTTTTTTTTTATGACCGTCGTAAACGTCCGTTTACTAATTCACTTTCGACCCTAACAGTTTTAAGTGAGAAGCTTAAGTGACAGACATGGTGTTTTTGAAGACCTCTACGTAACAAATGACTGCGTAAACGTAATAACCTCTAATGAGCTCCTAAGAAAAACAACGTTTGGACTTGAATTGTATAAAGTTACAACACATGCATCTAACACTTACGTACACGAGGATGATAGCAATTAATTAAGTACGAAATAAGCTGTATTTTTTTTTAGATTCCAACTTACGTTACAAATGTTTCCTTTTTTGGATAAAATTTTGCGACAGTGGTTTATGAATAGCAATTGAAAATTCACAGCAAACTTAAGACAATTCTGTTTTATTTTAATTTTAGGTGAGCTGAGCTCTAGTGTAGAATCTCAAGTGGAACGTGGATGCCCAAGTCTTCCTTGTTGTGAGTGAATTTCTAGGGCCCAATGATTCATTTATTGGTAAATGCATTCTTCGATTTACTCCATTTTTATGAAACTTGATGTGCTTTGACGCGAGCATTGTTTTGATGCAGTCAAGGATGTATGTAATGTGTATCAAGTAAAATACAATTCTGAGAATAAGCTGTCTTAGATATTATTGAGGCTTGTGTGATGAATCTTCATTGGCAATTCTCAAATGACTTTTACCATTGTTATTTTATCATTGTGAATTTCAAATAAGCATAGTTGTAGTTATAAATGCAGGGCTCAGCCATCACAGCTGACTGGGTCTCCTTGTTTAAACGAGGACTATTTGATTTAACAAAGAGCATTTTTCTCTGTTAAAAGTACACTCAGACATCTGAAAGCTTGGTCAAAATACCTTAAAAAGTATGTAACATTAGGCTTCTTGTTGTTGCTTCATGTTCTTGATTGCTTTTTGCTTCCTGACTTGTTAGAGGAACATCGTCCTGGGTAAAGCTATAACAGGACTTCATTGTAGAAAAAAAATTCTGAGCCAATTATTTCTTGGATCTGATAAATTGTAGTTTGGATCTAACTAAGGCTGGGATATGATCCAGGTTAGGAAGTGTCTCAGGGGCAGATGTGGCTGATTTATGAAAATGAATCAGGCTACAAATAGGTAAAGCAGGTAGAAATCAGGCTCAGATCTGATCCATTCTCGGGTGTGACTCAGTTTAAGATATGACGTCAGCTGAGATCTTACTCGTAAAGATCTGAGTCAGTCTTGGATACCATTCCGTCAGGTCGAGATATGAGTCACATTCAGACACTAGTCAATCTCAAATGTGACTCGGGAGTGGATAGGACTCATTGTGGAACGTGACTCTAGCTCTCTTGTAACTCATAGAATGGGTTTTCCCATTCTTGGGGTGGGGGTGGGGGTAAGGTTTCTTGCTTGATCTGATTAACGAGTTTTATGGAGTTATTCAAACGCGCTGGGTTGAATCATTACTAAAATTGCGTCACTGTACTACTATCGCTGATTTACGAATGTCTGTGTATAGCCAGGTAGAAGTAATAGCAACAGTAGTGTGGCCATAATTGTTAACTAAAGCAATTATCACTCCCTTATTTGTGTCTTATTTGTGCCAGTTTGTAATAAGTTATTTAGTTTAACCTTAATTGAAAAAACTGAGCATTAGATTTCAACGTTTTTTGAAGGATTTTACTCCTCGAAATAAGGACTAATCAGGTAGTCAGGATAAAGTTACAAGCAAAATAAGATTTTTATTTGTTTGGGGATGAATTTGCTTGCCATGGGTAGCAAATGTCCAGCTAGATTGAGACTCTAGTTAAACCTCCTCCAACTCCGCGAATGTCGTTGAGTTTCTTCAAAATTTCAGTCAAATCTCCTGAGAATATGTGTAAGACAAACTCTGAGCTGCACTGAAAGATTCTATATACTTTCCTCTGTCGAATGCGTGACTTCATACTTAACATGATCCTATTTCTGTAATTAGATGAAAGCGAGAACCTTTCGCATTCTCCCCATTATGGTACAATCATAGCTGTCTCTATGCAAGCTCGCTTCTCTTTTCACCTTGAGGCAATGTAGACCTTGGAAGGATGCTCTAGCTTGCTCTCATTGAGAACGCTATGGAAGGAGTGCGTTACACAAGGAGTGAAGATGTTTTGTACAGTTTATTATGGAAAACGCACTTGAAGAATATCGCGTTTGAAATTCATGTCCAATTTTAAAAATGTCGAAATTGTTGTAGCTTATGTTGGGCAGACACAATCTTTTAGAAAACAAATCAGTAACTCGTTTTGAAGCTTCAGTCAGAATAACATTTGCATTTTAAGATAATTATGCAACCCGGAAATGTTTCCTTTCGTGACAGCGTTAGTTTGCATGTAAAATCCTGCTGCTACCAAGATTGTCTTCTAAAGATATGCCCGTTTCTTCTCGGGCTGCGATTTCGCTTTGATTGTCTTGTTGAAGCACTCAAAGGGTCGATGTCAACTGCAGTAATTAGTTAGCCAAAGATTAATGAAATTAACCGTTTTAATTCCATCATTTGATCTGCTCACACAATTTTCTCTCTAACTATTGCAAATTTTACAACTGTCGTTATTGTTGTCACTTATGCCAGTTGCTTTTCTGGTGGCCTTCTAGTGGCCTTATATCAAATTTGTCGTGGTTGGTTATAGAATGAGTGGATTTTACCATGCTTTCACTTGGAGGGAATTCATTGTTTGATGTTGTTTTTCAGAGGAAATAACCACGCATGCGCATCCAACTCTCCAAAGTGGAAGCCTTTCTTTGTCTGTTAAGTTACCAAAGGACATTTGACATCTAAATTACACTGCTGTTCTCGTCATGTAGTTCTGAGATGGACGTTATGTCCAGTTGGGCATGCGAAGGCACACCTCAGGTCCCATACGTCAGCGGATATCGAGTCTGTTGCAAATATATTGTTTTCAATTAATTATAGAGTTTGGTCACGCCAGTTGAGCAGCTCCTGGCGTGACTCGGCAGTGTTTGGCACAGAAAACGTCACCAAGGTCTTGTAAAACAGCACTTGCTCCCGCTTGCGTTACTGACGCAGGCTTGAGACCTGACACCGAGAAAAAAAAAAAAAAATGAAAAACAAAAGACAAAAAAAATAAAAGTGAGTCACGTGTTACAAGCATAACGCGTGCATAAAAAAATAGTAAAACCTCACCTGTAGACCTCAAAGAAAAAAACAAAAAAGAACTGAAAAAACACACAAAAAATTGAAAATCGCCGACGCTGTCGTCTTATTTTCCCTTTTTTACATGTTTTGTGTTGCTGCCGCATTTTATTTTTGACCTATTTGTGCCAATTCGTAGCCCGTTACGTACACTGATGCATAAAGCGCAACGCTTCATTCTCTAGTACACGTTTCCCAGCTCGAAGTGAAATCGCCACCGATGGCAATTTGTCTTTAACCGCTTTTTTTTAACCAAACAATGATAAATTATGCAGTGGTACATTTTTGTCTCTCACGGAAAGAACACGTTTATATGCATGATGAATTGTTATGCTGTTGTTCAGACGACGTTCAACCAAGAGTGGAGAAGGCGCGTCGTCTGTATTTTCTACGAAAACTTATACTCTACACCTAACTTCTGAGTCCCTTTCCCTTTTCGTAATATATTACTACATCTTTTCTTTCATTTGATGTAAGTTTCACACGAGAGGTTACACATAGCGTCTAAGTCAAATCGCCACCCGTGGCGATTTTCCCCCTAGTGGTGGCGAGTTTTGTGGTGGCGAGTTTGTTGTGGTGGGGAATTAACCGGATACCTTCAAATCAGATGTATTCAAAACTGGATCCAGGTACAGCTATTTTGCTCTACTTGTTTTAACTGTAATTTCTTTAGTCGTAAATGTGAAATTAACGTACACGATAAAAAGTTAACGCCTTCACTACCAGGAGTAACCGTGAAGGACTTTCTCTACACAATGTCCGTGAAAGGTGATGTAAAGAGAGAAAAATGTAAACTTTGTGAAGAGAGAAAAATGTAAACTTTATGATTCTTAAGGGCCAGTCATTCGGCATCGCCAAAGGGCCGGGTAGGGGGGGAGGGGGGGGGCGGATCCGGATGATTTCGGTTATGTCACGATAAATTTTATCTGATCCTCTCATAAGGCTCTGTAAAGTTCCTTTGCCGATCAAAGGAAATGGTTAAACAAGACAAATTGTCTTTCATGTCTAACTCAGTGAAGTGAATCAAGGAAAGAAGAGCACTGCACAGAATGCCATACTATTGCAGTTTTTATTGGTATCTATCTGTACGATGCAATGTTTCCCAGTGGCAGATCCAGGGGGAGGGTCCGGGGGATCCGGACCCCCCCCAATTAAACCTGACGCTTACAACTTTGAGACAGGATCGTATATCACTTTTATCTGGCTGATTTTTTTAATGAATCCAAATCAGTAAATGGTAAGCGGCCAAAGAATTATAACGTGCAACCGCGACTGGTGGGAGGGGGTGTGGGTGAGAAGTAATTTGCCTCAAAGAGCCCAACATCCCTTTCTGAACCAAAGTTTGGACTCCCCCAATCAAAAATTCCTGGATCCGCCTCTGTTTCCGGTAGTTCGGATCTAACCCGTTACCCCCACACATCAGTATACAGGTTCTCCAAGCTGTTCTCTATACATTTTCTATGGTCTTACGGGGAGAATTTGTCAAACAATCAAGAGCCTCTAGAGTTGACGACCAGTTCCTTTATTCCCAAGACCTAAAAGTTTGTTTCAAGATGACACTATTTGGAGAAATTTGATGCTAATCACTCTAAGGGGTAATGTTTTCATAAATCGTTCAGACGGAAACTGTCACGCGATGGACAAGTGGTATGTCTGTTTTCTTCCCAGCGGAATCAGGCTGACGAATACGAGCTAAAAAAACAAATCCGATAAAGAAGTATCATTAGTAGACATATTTAATAGATGACTATTGTACTAATTCTCTGGTGATATATATTTTTCATATATTATTCGTTTTGCCTCCTTCAATCCAGCAATATTACACAGAACTTCAAACTTACCATATGATTTGCATTTTACATCTTTTAAAACCCAAATAATCTCTGTTGATAGTTTGTGGTTCTCTTTAGACACATTCCATACGAAAGCCATAAAAAATTAATTGCTTCTTTACTGTTTAACGTGACTAGAATAATCTCTTTTGTTTTCCCGCAACCTCCAAGGCTGTTACATTTATATTTCATACTGATTTTTCTCCAAATTTTTTTATTTTTTATTTTACATACAAAATTGGGTATCAACTGTGTATGTTGAATAAAAGAGAAAATCGAGGTAATTCAATCTTACTTAAACTGATAACAGTGGTGCAACAGTAAAGATTTTATGATCATCTTGCAAATTTTGTGAAATTACCTTATCCTTCCCTTACATGCAATTTTTAAAAAAATTTCCGCCGCGACAAAATCTTTTTAAATACTTCACCCGGTTAAAGCTCGCTAAGATTTAATTTCCCATATATATGAAGTGCATTTAATCCGAATAAACAGAGCTTAAGCTCAGGGAAGTTTCAAGATTTTCACTGCTGGCTCCTCTCCCAAGATGGAACTGGTCCAGCAACCATTCTAGTCGAACTTTATCGTCGCTCAGTTTTCTCTGGTATTGTCCTTTCAGAACTCTCTTCAGATCCTTTTTTTCGTTGGTGCACTTATTCTCTATTTCAAGTTTGTCTCGTTCGAATTTCAGCTGCAAAGTTTGTATTTCCAGCTCGTAACATTTTTCAAGCTGTTCCTTCTGATATCTCAAGACAGAGATGTCGTGTTCGTAACCTTGAATTTCGGACTCAAATTTCAGTCTCTCTTGTTGTAAAATGCGCCGGAAATCCACGTCAAATTTACGCCTGATATCGTCTTTCTCTTTTCGAAAGTGTTCCTCCATGTCAGACTTTTCCCTCTTAAAGATATTCATTAAATCGTTTTTCTGCTGTTTGAATCGCTTTTCCATGTCAATGATTTCCGATGCGAACTGGTGCTCGACTTGTTTGTGTTTATTAGCGTAGTGCGAATGCATCCTGTTCTTTTCTTGGTTCAATGATTTTAACAAGTCCTCTCTGTCCACGCTTAACTCTGCATCTAAGAGCGATTTGAAGTGCATGTCTACCTCAGGCTGCTCATGGTTGTACACTGTCTCCAAAAATGCGTTTTCCTCCAAGTAAATATTTTCCAGATCGCCTAAGCCCTGACACAAAGTTCGCTTTAATTCCTTTTCAACGTCCTCGATTCGTTCGAGTTCTTTACGTATTGTCGCCTCCATTTCTGTCTTTTCAGCCCTGAAGCCCTCCTCTTTGTCCTTCAAACTTTTTTCGAAACTTTTCTTCAATTCCTTTTTCTCTCTCTCAAAATTTTCCAGGAGATTTTCCCTCTCGCGATCCCATGAATCCATCAACGCTGATTTCTCGTCGTCAAACGACAGTTTCAAAACATGTTTCGCCTCCTGGAATTCCAGGCGAATATTATCTTTCTCTTTCAAGAATGCCTGTCTCATTTCTTCCTTCTCGCATTCAAAGGCCTTTTTCATGTTCTCCTTCTCAGCCTCAAACGCAAAACGCATTTCGTTTTTCTCATCTTCGTGGGCGCGCTCGACTAATTCTCTGTCGTGGAGAAATCTTCGAACGATTTCCGCTTTTTCCTCCAGAAACTGCCGCTGATCGTCCGAGATGTCGAAGAGGTGTTCCTTAGAGTTCTTCGACGAGGACTTTTCCATAACTTACCGTTTGATTTACAAGCTCCAATTTACGAATCTTATTTAAATTCAAAGCGCATTTCACGGCGGTAGAACTCAAGCCGCGCCAGTGATCCTTGATCAAGACATTTTATAGTCGATCGATAATCCGGAAACCCTGCGTGCGCACTTTTATGACCACAACTTCGCATTAGTAGCTTGTCACTTCTTGAACGTCAAAAAAACTTCCTTTATACTGCTTTTCAACAGCCGAGAATAACACAGAACGGATCAGTTTAAAAAAAACGCTTAGCTGACTTCAAAAAATCAGCGATCTGTGAACGACTTCGATAAACACAGTACAACTAAGTCTCGATTATTTTAGACAAACACTTTTACTTTCAACCAAATCTGCATATAAATCGATTTTGTTGCTATCTAGGACTGAACTAATTGTCGGGTGTTTGATGGTGGAATAATTTCTAAAAACACCACCTGGCGAGGCTCAGTCGAAGCTAATTGATTCTACGTTGTCGACACACATTTGAAGCAAATTTGAAAAGCGGTAGTCATTCGCGAGAAACTTCATTAAAAATTGTTTTTAGTGAGTTAGCGCCGAGAAATAAACAGCTTTGTCTACGCCGTAAAAGCTCTCCTCGAAGTAAGAATTGATGCGATACAAATAACCTTTTAACTTAAAGTTGACCTCCACCAGTGTCGAAAGACGGCCAATTTCAAGGTCTATTTATTTTGTAAGAAGGCTTTACAAATTTGTACCCGACGTCAAGCACTTTTTTATTTGAAATGAGAAATTAATTCATGTACCCGGATAGCGACAGGTACCCGGGAAGTCTTTATTTCTCGCCCTGTAGGCGCCTGGCTAGGAGCTGACACCTTTGTTTTGGAAACATTTTATCGAAAAGCAATCTGTGTTTTTAGCCGGTTGAATGATTTAGATGATACACACACCCACTCGACTTCAGTTACGTCACCAACTGTACCAAAACATTCCAACTTTCTGTACTTCTGCGGTGAATTCATTTTTTGTTTTAGAATTTCATGGTTACTCGTTTCTCTGACTTGATTAGCCCTGTTTTCTTACGATTCGGCCATAAGTGCACCACTCGTAAGGCAAGATAAACTGAAGTGTAATCTCCAGGCAAATTTGAAAACCAAAGCTCTGAAATCGGCTTGCATTAAGGTCATTATATAGGCCCGTCGATGAAGTCTTAATAACTAATAAGTTCTCCGGAGGACTATTCATAATAATGTCTATCAATATTGCGTGCGATGGAAAATTTGAAACAGTCAATTCCCTGAGATACGGTTCAGGATTTCAAAGCAATAGATTAGGGGGACTAACGAAAAAAATCGGACAGAGAAAATAGAAGAGGTTATCAATCGGTGTCCGGTCTTTTCGTCCAAGAGTCTTTTCGTCCGAGTCTTTTCGTCCAAAAGTATTTTCACCTAAGTCTGTTCGTTTACTTGTTAAGTCTTTTCTCGAAG